CTGGAAGTCTAGGACATTTTCAGGTGGGTAGTTACCGTTATAGGAGCCTTATAGAAGATCTATATACCCTAAACTCCCCACCTGTAGTTGCCTTTAAGAAAGCCCTAAGCCCTGAAAGCCTAAACCCTAAACCCCAAACCCTACATCCTAAACCCTAAACCCTAAACCCTGAACCCTGAAAGCCCTAAGCCCTCCTTCTTCGAGGCATTCGCAAATCCACGGCTTTGTTGGGACTGAGGGAGGCGGCGGACATCGTAGACAAGGCTCGCTGGGAGGTGGGGGAGCTTCCGCTCCTTACTGTAAGGCTTCCTTTAAAGGGATCTACTAGGTTTTTTAGGGTTTAGGGATTTAGGGGTTTAGGGTTTAGGGGTTTAGGGTTTACTGTAAGGCTTCCTTTAAAGGGATCTACTAGGTTTTTTAGGCTTTAGGGTTCAGGGTTTAGCTTGCTTTGTTTTGCATTCAGGGTTTAGGGTTTAGAGTTTAGGTGGTTGGAGAGGGTGGGGATTGGGGGAGGGGGATGGAGTGTTCGCTGGTTTTGTTTGTGCCTACTTGGAGGCCCACGGGACTCAGTAAGTCGGTTCTGAGAAGCTAGGGTTGTACTCGGGGTAACTCTAGGGTACTTATATCTCTGCTTACAGCCTACGTACTAAGTCCCCTGGGCCTCCAAGTATCTTGCTTTTGTTGAGGTTTTCTGCCTGGTGCTTAGTAGGGAATGGGGGATATAGGGACTACTATAAGGGACCTTAAGGGACTATCATAGGGATCCATTCCCCCATTCCCTACTAAGCACCAGACAGTTTTCGTTGCTTTTAGTATTGAGGCTCTGGCTGTACACAGAGCCCAAAGCACCGGAAATCCAACAGCTTGGCCATGTCAAGGGCCAGGATACTTGGAGAGTCGGGGGACTTAGTAAGTGGGGAATAAGTAGACTTATAAGTCCCCTAATAGGGATCCTAAATGGGGCTAGGATACTTACAACTCTGTAAAATAGCTACTTACTAAGTCCCCCGACCCTCCAAGTAGGCAATGCATCGAGCAAGTGGTGGCATTATCCCCTTGGCCTAGAGGGTTTAAGGTGTAGGGTACAGGGTTTAGCGAAACTTATTGGTGCTCGAGGAAGTGTGCGTAAGCTCTAAAGGCCCTAATCCCTAAACCCTAAACCCTACACCCTAACCCTACACCCTAAACCCAAAGCCCTGAACCCTAAGCCCTAAGGCCTAAACCCTAAACCCTAAACCCTAAACCCTAAACCCTAAACCCTAAACCCTGAACCTGAAGAGTACCCCAAGGCTGGCCTTGCTTCCCTTATATCAACCCGAAAGCTTCAGATTTTCATCGGATTCCTAGACCTGACTTTGTAGGCCGGCATAACTAGTTCTTATGGGTTTAGGGTTTTGGGTTTTTGGATTTTGGGTTTAGGGTTTTGGGTTTGGGGCTTAGGGTTTTTTTGGGTTCAGGAGTTTCAGGAGTTTACTTGGAGGCCCAGGGGACTTAGTAAGTAGGTTATAAGTAGAGTTATAAGTACCCTAACTGGAGTTACCCAATTATAACCTACTTATAACCCGCTTACTAAGTCCCCTGGGCCTCCAAGCAGGGTTTTGGGCTAAGCAGTTCTAATCCCCACGCCCGGTCCAAGTCTTGAGGCTCCTACATCATAGTGCACGTGCTTAAACTACCATAGCCTACTTTTGTGCATCTTCTTACTCTTGACTCTGGGCCCTATATAAAATTGGTATTGGACTTAAAAAGGGGGTACTTTAGAATGTTAAGGTATACAACTCGTTTCGAAGATTGACCCTAAGCCCTAGACCCCAAACCCTAAATCCTAAACCCTAAACCCTAAACCCTAAACCCCTAAACTCCAAACCCTAAACCCTAAACCCTAAGCCCTTCTGCCCTGTCCTATGGCAAGGTGCACTTCCCAGGATGTGGCTTAGGCCAGATCCCGGGCGTTGTCGTCATGGAGGCGCCGGGCCGGGGCTAGCTTGTCCCAGACTCCTGGGAGGATCCAAAACGCAGGGTTTAGGGGTTTCAGGGTTTAGGGGTTTAGGGGTTTAGGGTTTAGGGGTTTGGGGTTTAGGGTTTAGGGGTTTCAGGGTTTAGGGCCGTCTGGGGTTTAGGGTTTAAGATTTAGGGGTTCCGAACAGCGACACTTTCGTAGTACAGGGTCCGAAACTGTTGGTTCTCCTTTTTTAGATCCTTCCGGCGGGGTCTGGGATACATAACCCAGAGGGTCCATCCATAGTCCCAAAAGACCATACTTTCTCTGGTCCCCCTAAACCCTAAACCCTAAACCCTTTCTCTGGTTTGGTGACCGAACCCCATGGGCTTTGGGTTCCTGTCCTTGCCCCCACATGAGGTCCGCAACGGGACGTCCTGCGCATCGGGAAATCCCATTTGCGCGCTTTGGCTGAAAGGATCAAAGGGCTCCTTAAGGTAAGGAGGCTTCGGGTTTAGGGTGAGATGACGGTCGGTGGGCTAATCCCAAATAGGAGTCCTTCCCAAAGGGTCCGAAGTACCTATACAGTAAAATGTAGGGCTTCTATATTACGCATTAGGAATTAGTCAGTATTGTGATTTGGGGAAGAATCCCCCATGACAGCACCTAGGACCCTAAACCCTAAACCTAGGAACCTTTGGAATCTAAGCAACTCCGCAACCCCTTCACCTTAATCCTAAATTTTGAGGACTTGGCAAACAGTGAAGAAAACGAGGTAATGGTTTAGGGCTTAGGGTTTATGGTTTGTAAACCCTATAAACCCTAAACCCTATAGGGTTTAGGGTTTGGGGCATTGGGTTCCTCAATCCTCGCACCCTAATGCCTAGCTGCGGGCTTGGGATTTGGGTTGCGCTGGGGAGTTTCGGAAGGCTAAAGAAATCCATACTGCGTCCCAAAGGTTTAGGGTTTAGGGTTGAGAGTTTAGGGTTTAGGGTTCTAGACCAACTCGAGCACCTCTGAAAGCTCAGCAAGGCCTTCGAAAACAGACACTCCCTAACCCCAAGCCCAAAACCCCTAAACTCCCGGCCCTAAACCCTAGAAGCGATTAAGCACATGGGTAGCTCTCGTGCCGCATTCTGTTGGGCTAAACCTTAAAACCGAAACCCCGAAACCCCAAACCCTAAACCCTAACCCGATAAACCCTAAACCCTAATTCCTAATTTAGAGAACTACCCACATAGACCCCCTCGACCTCAGGACAAATACTCTCGAGTTGTTGTCGTCTTCTCGGCACGCCCAGATGAGGCCAGAAGCTACTCCTTTAAAGGGTTCTCAACATTTTAGGGTTTGGGGTGCACGGTTTAGTAGGGTCTTAAATGCAATCATTGGGTTTTTCTTTGTTTTACACTTAATTACATATGATTTGGAGGGCTCCTCAGTCGATGAGTTTTTGTTTGCCAAGGGTTCTGTGTTTCACGCCAAAACCCCAAACCCTAAACCCTAAACCCATTCTTCGTGTTGCAGGAATTCCAGCTTTAGAGAAAGACCCTTAGGGCATTATAATACGGTTGATGGTATATCTCCTGCACTGCTCATACTAAAGAATGTGCCATAATTCCCATAGTTTAGAGTCCTTAAGGTCACGCAGGGTTTATATCTTCAACAGTATCATAGGACTTTGGGTCCATTTTGGGTCCACAGAAGCCACAAATAGGGACTAAACCCTAAACCCGAACCCCAAAACCCTAACCCCAAAACCCAAAACCCTAAACCCTAAACCCTACTTGGATCCTCAAGGTATTGTAGGACTTCGGGTCCATTTTGGGTCCACACAAAGCCATAAATAGCCAGAGGCCCCATAGTAGTTCCTTTTGGCGGTTCATGTTTAATTTAGAATCCTATAAGGTAATCCTAAAAAGGAACTTCTAAGGGGCCTATGGGTAGGGACTCCTCGGGCCCCTAGGGAGCGGGAAGAAGGGGTCTCGGAGAGAAGAGGGGTTTAGGGTTTAGGGTTTAGGGTTTAGAGTTTAGGGTTTAGGGTTTAGGGTTTAGGTGGTGAGCGTGCCGAACCCTAAACCTAAAATCCTTTAAAAAATTTAAGATGGGGGCTTTAGCAATTACCTATACACTGTTTCGGGACGAGAATGATAGTGCAATATGCCCCCAAACCGTATTCTATTTTTCTTAGGCCCCTACATTATACAATGTAGACGGTAGGTTTACCTTAAATCCCGAAGCGAAGGGTAGGGCCAGGCTTTAGGGCGCTTCCAGGTTTTTTGTAGGGTGGAGCCAGCTGCCCCGAAGGCCCCACACAAGAGACCCCCAAGGCCCAAAACCCTTCATAGGGGGTTCTATAAGGGGGTTCTCAAGAGCTGCTATAATGTAGAAGTCTGTGAATACTTACCAAGCATTGCTTAGAGTTCCGTGGTTTCCGCATTCCGATTATAGTAGTATATACCCCCAATACCCCGTTCAAACTATTCGAGCTATTATGGCGCCCATCATCAGAATCATGGAACCCTTATAGTAGCCCTTCAGAACCCAGATTATAGAACCCGTAAAGGAACCCTATAGGTTATAAGTAGGGTTATACGTACCTTAGCTGGAGGTACACCAATTATAACCCTACTTATAAACGACTTACTAAGTCCTCTGGGCCTCCAAGTACACCCCGAAACCCCAAACCCTAAGCCCTAAACCCTAAACCCCAAACCCTAAATAGAACCCTTATAGAAGCTCTTGAGAACCCCCTTATCATAACCTGCTGTTGTAGAGTCTGGCATGGCAGGTTTAAAGTCTCTAAAGAACCCTTTGAAGAACTCCCCTAAGCAGCCCAATCCGGATTCCCCCTTTGTCTTACTTCCCTAATGAGCCAAGGAATAGAAGGCTAAACTTTCAGATAAAAACGAAGTTATAAGAACCCAAAAGGTTTAAAGGTTGGGTTTTGGGGAACTAAGTTGTGAATGAATGGAGGTGCGTATCCCGGCACCAACGAACCTCGGCTGCCTTGCATCCTGATGATTTTCTAGGGCTCCACTTACCCAAAACATTGCTTACTGGGTTGAGTAGTAATGGTTAGTCACCTACTATTTCGGTAACTTTAGCCCGGGCGATTATCACACAAACACAGACTTGTTGGCCTCTAGCTGCGTTGTTCGTTGTAACTTGAGCTTTCGCGTTTGCATGGTTTCCTACCAGCATAGGATTCTTGTTGGAGCATTTACATGTGGGAAGATTACGAGCTATGTTAGGAAAGAAATGGCTGCGGTGCAACACAGGTTGTGTCAACTCCTTTATAGTAACTGTCTCGTAATTGGGAAAGGCAGCACTAGCGCACCTACGCCAGTTGCTTGACACTGCCATAAACCCTTCAACTTAGACCCTAAACCTTAAACCCTGAATTGACTTACTAGCACATGGGCACCTCAACGCATCCCTGCATCCTAAACCCAAAAACCCCAACCCCTCACCTTAATTAGCCGAGGCTTTCTCAAGGTTGAAGCGCATAAAATCTGAAACTGAAACCCTGCGCCACAAATCCGAAAACCTATAGCCTGAAGCTACATACCAAAAACCTTGAGGGCCCCAATATACAAGCCTGAACATTTGTATGGTAATACTACTCAGTTCTTTAATTAGTTTGAACAGTATTCCTTAGAGTTTCATATTATATAACTGCCGTCTACTACACCCCCCAAAAATCCCAGTCGAATGAGTATGGCCCCTATAGTACAGAAGCTTATAAGTAATTACCAATAGTATTCTTAGGGTTCCTTATTGCAAATATGCTATAAAGAAGCCCAAAACCCTGTTCTAGTTCTTAAGGCCCCTATGCATTATACATCCTCAAACCATGAACCCTAAAGCCACCCTAAACCCTAAAACCCTTAAAGCCACCCGGCACTCCAAACCCGATGGTACCCAAGTCGCCTGCGTAGCAAACCCCATGGCTTAGGAGTGTTGTTTCTGAGCCCTAAGACCTCTGATGACACTGCCTGAACCCGGCCTTTAAAGGGATCTATAGGGTTCCTTTATAGGGATATATAAGGTTCCTTTCAAGGCATCTATAGGGTTCCATAACTTAGTTCCCCAACACCCAACCTTTTAATTTTTTTGGGTCTTATAATTTAGTAGTAATCTGAAAGTTTAACCTTTGATTTCCCTGGCTTACTGCGGAAATAAGAAGGGTTAGAGTATATCCCTTAACCCTAGAGCCTGAAGTATGGGGCTGATAGGGCGTGGGGGATATAGGGCTCATACAGGTTTAGGGGGGGCCAGGCATGGCAACTCAGCAGCTGTAAAGCAGCTGTGCAGGTTGAAATATGGAGCTTAGGGTTTAGGGTTTGGGGGGTTTAGGGAATCTGTGCTACGTGTTGGGCTGTGGGTTTCTTGAATCATGGTTGCGGGCAAACGTTGCATATCTCCGTGTTGTAGCAACATTCATTGAGTTACATGGCGCAAACCTTTGTTTCAGGGACCTCTTCTGAAGAGATATTAGGATCCACAATCCTCTACAAAGACACATAAAGCCGCATTCAGAATGATTGTCCTTGTTATTATAGTTCTTCCAAGAATCGCATACCCTAAACACCAAACACTAAACCTTGCATATATGGACTTGGTCAGATACGAGGCCGGGGCTACGGCGGAGGAAGGGGCGATCAACCTCCCCGCTCATCTCACCAGGAACGTGGTGACCAACATAGCCGTGGCGACAGGCGCGCTCAGCCCACCGGGTTACGCGGTCCGCTGGAACCGTCTGCGAACCCTGGCAGAAGGAGCATTTTGTCTGGCCTGCGCCGTGGAGCGAATATCCCTGGTAGACATCTCGCTTCCGGAGGGAACCTCGCCAACGGGTCCGAGGGATTACGGGGAGAGGGTCATCAGAGCCAGGCCCGTGATGGAGATCGCCACCCTAGTGTTCCCGTCGGCCTTTACAGTTCACGTGGGCGAACAGATCGGGGATTTGCCTCGAGTTCGCGATACGATAAGGCCTTATAAGGAACCCGCACTCGACCCTGAACCCGAACACCTACACGCTAAACCCGAAACCCTACAAGCCCTACACCCTAAAACCCTACACCCCAACCCTAAACCCTAAAACCCTAAGCCCCTAGAACCCTAAAGCCCTAAACCCCTAAAGCCCTAAAGCCCTAAAACCTCAAAAGCCCAAAAACCCTAAAGCCCTACACTCGGCCGAACACCGTAGGGTGATGGGAAACTGGCAGTCAGGAGCCGGAGTGGCGGCATGCTGATGCTGCACCCACTGCAGGCCGTTTTGGGGTTTATGGTTCCGGATTCCGGGTTCAGGGTTTGGGGTTTAGGGTTTCGGGTTCCTCCCCAGAGAGCACTATCAAAGTAGATGTTTGGGCCCAAAACGTATGCACCATACCCTAAACCTAAACCCCTATACTGTTACTTGCACCCTTTGGGTCAAAGCACCGCTACTCTACTCGCAGCTTAAGGGTCCGAAAGCCCAGTAATACTCAGGTACCTAGGGGTTTAGGGTTTAGGGTTTAGGAGGGTTTGATATAAGGATTTGAAAGCGAACTGTCTGAGGCTCCAACGGGCACGGTAAGTAGACGCTTGGGCTTAGGGTGGCATCAATTTCTGTTGGTGTTTGGGGTAGGCTATAGTTATGAAGTGCTTGCACCTTCGGAGTTGGGAACTGGGGCTACCAAAAGCCCCGACCTAGACAGCTCAAGATTCTACAAAGAAGGTCTTCCCAAGAGGGTCCATATAATGGAATTAGGTCCTCCCAAGCCATGATTAGAATAGTCTTCTGGGGCCTAATTCCCTAAACCCTAAACCCTAAACCCTAGTAGTATATATGGACATACATGGACCATAGACCCTAAACCCTAAACCCTAAACCCTAAACCCTAAACCCTAAACCCTAAACCCTAAACCCTAAACCCTAAACCCTAGTAGTATATATTGGGGCTGTCCTAAAACCGCTCTCTGTAAGT